CTCTTATCTGATGGTCCACTTTTTACTATTGTTTGCTGACTCCATCCAAGGATGTTTTGTGTCTATGTGTGGAGGCCCTAGGATGCTCCTAATCTGTGCAAATCTCCCTAGATGGCTCACCTAGTCCCACCTTGTTTCCAAATCCATCTCCCATTGCTCATCTTTCCTTTGAGCTCCACACTCACATACCCAAATTGAATATTCTCATGAATGACCAAGGGCTTCATCTGAGTCTGACTCACCTGCTCAACTTGATGTCTTCACCTTAATGCCTAATAGGTGGATCTGGTTTGTTTAAGAGTCTTGAAACACAAAGATGTGAATGCAAAATGTTTTCATTAATTAATTTTGTTGCTTTTATTTGTGCTTATTTGAATTGTACTCTTTTTCTTTTCTGATTGGAAGTCCCCTTAACATGAAATTGACCCAATCCCATAATCAATCATTTTAAGCTATTAAAATTTAATTCAGCCCAGTCCAAATCCTCAGTTTTTAAACTTGGCTTCTCCCCTTGTTCCAACAAATTCTAGAGCCACAGTCTAGACACCTACTTTGAGAATAGAGGGTTGTGATCTAACTTGAGATTCCAGCACCTACCCCTTTGAGAGAAGACAGAAGTCTCCTTAAGGAATGGGCCTTTCTGGGCCTCCTCCCCTGACGTGGTACAGATGCTTTCTTTTGGTGCTGTTGAGCTTTACTCCATCGGATACCTCTCAGAGAGCAGGGCATCTCACTGACCAGTCAGTCCCTGTTTCTGCCCTTCTGTCAACTCATTTGCATCTCTGCTGGGAGCTGAAGGAGCCCTTGTGGTCCTTCTCCACATCTTCTGAGCACTGTAGAGAACAAAGAAAAGGTGGATTCCCAATCCCCTTCTCCCCCAAGGCAGACATCTCCCAAGAGGCTGTTGACCACACTCTGCACCACTGGCAGTTCCTAGGGGGCCTACACCAGGCATGCAGCCCAGAAACCAGAGACTGTTCTGATCGTCACTGAGGCACCTCAAAATGGTGTTGCATTGTGTGTTTCTCATGCTACACAAACACCCAAGTAAAAGATACCCCCAAATCTCTGGCTCCTCAAAATTCTTTTTCTTGGATCTGCCTTTCAGCCAGGCCTGCTCTGCCATTTGAAGCTGTTTGCCCACATGTTGCAGGGTGGGTGGTGACTGATCTAGGCTGTGTGGACTGGGCAGTTTTGCTTTAGGCAGCAGGTTGGCTTGGGGACTTTCTCCAAGTGTCTCTCATTCTTCTCTTGGGATCAGTCACTAACAGGCACTGGCACAGTACCAGAGGGTGTACTTGAGCATTTGAGCACAGTTCTTCTGTCACAGCTGCACATCCTGTTGGCCAAGAAAGATTTCATGGTAAATCTAAAGTCCAGGGCAGAGGAAATATTTTCCCTCTTCCATGGGTACTGTGAAGTTACATGAGTGAAGGTCACATGTGTGTGTGTGTGTGTGGCGGGCGGGGGGAGATTGGGGCTAGTAATTCAACTCACCATGCCATTCTCTGCCATCTCCCAGCAGTCACCTCTTTTTTTTTTTTAATTTTTTATTGTTGGCTGTTCAAAACATTACATAGTTCTTGATATATCATCTTTCACACTTTGATTCAAGTGGGTTATGAGCTCCCATTTTTACCCCGTATACAGATTGCAGAATCACATCAGTTACACATCCATTGATTTACATATTGCCATACTAGTGTCTGTTGCCAGCAGTCACCTTTTACCCACCATGCTCCAGGTGTAGTGCCCCCCCACACTGCAAACTCTTTTCTACCCTGAGGCCATTAGCATCACATTACACTCTACTGTCAATATATTGGTAGCTTTAGCACTAAAGTTTGCTTTCCAGAGGACTCCAGTGACATGACAGCTATTCCTTTTCTGTATTTTTTTTCAATCTTTAATTTTATTTGATTTTTAACGATCCATACCCTTAGAGCATTCATTGACTTGAGGATAGATCTGAAAGCCTTTCGGATTCACCATGAAATCAATAAAACACTTTTATTTTCCTATAATACTCTGAGACCTGCCAAAAGATGAAAAACAAATTAATTTGCTCTACATTTGCTCAATAGGTATAATGGGCAGCAGGCAGAAAACGACGAGAAAGAAACAGATTTAATGGAGCTTTCCAATTTGGGAGTTGAGATGACTTGGATTTCGGTCTGAATTTAATAGAAGATTTTCAAGGCATCTTAAAGCTAATTTTGTTTATTTTTTTATTCATATAATTACATATTTGGTGGTCCATTGGCTGTGAATTTGCCCAGTGCACAGTGGGCCTCTTGTGGAGGAGCAAGGACCAGGCAAAAGTGCAGGGCTGGCGTGGGGATGGTGAGCCCTTGAGGCACTTTGGTACCAGGTTCATGGATGACAGGGACTGGGGTGGGGGTGGGATACAAGTCTTATGTTTTTTGCTTACAAGAGAAGAAGGAAAGGAAAAGGGTTGGGGATCTTGGGGCATAGGCAAACCGCTTCCCTCTTCTGTGGTGTTGGGGAGAAAGTCAGGAGCCACTTTCTTGGCTTAATAAAATGGGGAGGGGACTTTATAGCAGTACCCTGAGGACCCAGGCCCAATGGGGTATGGTCTTCTGCACAGCTCAGGAGCGCACTGTCATTTTGATGACCACGGCTGCAGGCATAACTGAGATGTGCTGATGAGTGCTTCTCCACCCCATCCCTTCAACCCTTCCCCGGCAGTGAGCACTGCCATTACCACTTCCATTTAAGAATGAATCATTGAAGAAGTAGAGAGTCACTGGAGGATACTCACCTGGCAAGTGAAAGATTTGCTTCAGGTTTGTCTGATGGTGGCACTTATGTGCTTAACTACTACGCTCCACTGCCTGGAGAAGAAAGGGAAGGCATCCACTGTAACTTTACAGACACCTGTTACTACAGTTGCCACAGGGTGCAGGACAGTGCCTGGAGCTCCAAATGGTGGCGGTAACCTAGGAAGTACTGGAGGGACACAGTGTACAAATGGCTACTGTCCGCATCTTGTTCACTCTGAGATGAGAAGGTACTGGATTATGGTGACCAGAGGTGAATGTACCTGAAGTTGTGGCAGAAGGAAAGAACTGGATTGACAGCTGTGAAAGGAATGATCTGCCAGCTGCCTGGGGCCCCTGCATTGTGGATTGAAGCCCCTAACAGGCCTGAGATCCCTGCCTGAATTTCTTCAAGCTGGAACTCATGCACACTATTACTTGTTACATCCCATTATTAATTAGCATTTATGACAAGAGTTCATGAGGCACAGGCATCTTCTGTTCTCATTATATATCTCTTCACTATTCAGAAACACAACTGTCTGGTAACATTGCTCCACGCCCGCAGATCAGATGACCAGGCTTCTCTACTGCTTTCCTTATGTCTCACATATGCCTTCCTGCAGCCTTCTCTGTCAATCATCTTCCCACTCCATTTTCTGGGAATATTAGAGAGTGCAGAGAATTGGAAGCATGCAACAGGCAGAAACTAGGGTGGATGAAACAGGTGGACGTAAGAGCAATTTGGAAGTAGCTATGGTTTCTTTTCTAAAATTGTTCTAGCTTTGTTCTACCCTGTGCTATCAGATCTACTGGCTGATATGGAAGACCAGAAATAGCAGGAGCAGTTACACTATGGGTTAGTTCTTGAATATTCTGCAGTGCTCAGTTGTTGCTGTTCACCCCCATCATTCCTGCACATTGCAGAGCCCTGAGTTGTTATCAAGACCGAACACGATGATGCAGACAAGCCTGTATCGTAAACTACAGTCCTAGAGGGAAGGGTAGTTTTAGAGCTTGTGGAAGATTCTATTTATAAATAGAAATAGAACCTCTCCCAGGGACGTAATTGTTCATCTCCACCTTGTTGATGTCAGGCTCCGTCATATGACTTGCTTTGGCCAGTGGCAGGTGAGTGGAGGCGAGGTGTGTCACTCTGGGCAGAAGCTCCAAGTGTCAGCACACGGCTCTCCTCGTTCTCTGCCTCTCTGGGTGTGTCATGACAGAGTCACTCAACAGAGGTTCCCTGGTCACTTCATTGAGCAGGCAAAGCCATTGCTGACCCATGCTGGACATGAACATGGGTGACAAACAGACATTGTCATTTTAAGCTGCTGGGACTACAGAATAGCCAGCCTGTCCTGGCTGACGGGGAGCCAAACCCAGGAAGTCTTAGGATGTGTTTGGAAAACAGGACTCAGTGATGAGTACCATCAATGACCAAGACGGAAGCGTTTAGAAAGAAACAAGGGAAAATCCTTAGTTTCTGTTTGAACAGATTAAAAAAAAAAACAAAACCAAAAAACCTGCCTTTTTTTCTTTTGTATTGTTTTCTCTGTGTTTTGTGTTTTGGTCTTTTTCTGGCATTTACATGCCTCAGTGTGTAGAAAATGCAATACAGTGTATTCATTTTGACTTTCTATGCCTTTAATGAACAAATTTGGTTTTTATTAATATTGGGGGAAATGGTAAAATTAGCTTTGCCTTTAAAAATCATTTTATACATGTGCATGTCATTTTATTTTTGTGTGGTATTATTCAAATCATTGAAAAACATTTTCTATTAAATAGAAAAGCTTACCCGAGGCAGTTAATGTCATCAGTTTATAATACAAACATTATGTAGTTCAAAATTAAGAAAAAAGAAACTTTTAAAAAGAAAACTTAAGAGAAAGCCTCTTTTTTAAGAAATTAAGGCTAATGTAAAAGATTGTGCACTTTGTCTATTTTTAAAGAGAAAATAAAAATACATTAACACTATTACTGCCATTGAAATTTATTTCATGAAATAAAATTTGAACTGTCTTTTTCTGGCAAATCTGTATTCCAGCAGAAGTGTATAGAATTTTAAAAAGTTATGTGACTTGATCAGGGGAAAATAGTGAATTATTTTAAAAAGCTTTTTTTCTGTGAATGTGTGTGTGTGTGTACGTGTGTGTGTTGTGTGTTTTATGTGTCCTGTATAAAGAGAAACTAATTATCTTTTACTTTGTTGTTTAGGATTTTCACTGCATGCTTGCACAGAGAGTCCAAGAACAATACCAAGAAATGTGCAGCTTTCTAAGGTACACATTTTCTGTAGATAGTTCTTACAGTTTGAAAGGAAAGTCACTGACGAATTCATCTGACTTTTGATTTGAAATTCAGGCTAATATCTTATAGGTGTTTACTGTGTTGGAGGGCAGGGGTGTGTAAAAAGTACTTGAGCCTTGAGCGTAGATATATTTAACTCTGAATCCCTCTGTTACTATTTATGTATATTTGGAAAAATAGATTTATCTCTCTCAGGCTCAATTTTTCCATCTATAAAGTGACCATAACAGTACTTTCCTCACTAGGCTGATGTACATGAAATAAGACAAAATTATTTTCATCTTTTTTTTTTTTGGACACCTAGAGCAGTACCTGACAATACTTATTCAATAAATATTTGTTAGATGAATAAATAATTGAACGAATTAGTGTAGACAAAATGCTAAAATTGACATGTAAATCCTATGAGTTTGTGTCTATTTCTGGATCCTTTATTTTATTCTGCTGCTCAGTCTATTCCTGGGGCAGCACCTAATCAGGCAGTACCATCATCTGTCAGAAGCCAGTATCATCATGTGCGCATGTGTGTGTGAGTTCTTCAGATGGCCCATTTTAAGATTTCATGAGGCAAATAAATTTGATGTAGTCAGTATATCTTCATGCATTTAATTTACATATGATTCATGTATTTATCATACCTTATCTCAGACCAGCCATATATTACATTATCTAAGAATAAGTGGATGAATTAATTAGGCTCTGAGATGAGAAGTACAAACATTTTAAAAATCAAAGAATCACCGTGCAGCTGAGGACCATATAGCTATAAAGCAGCTCAGTTTATTTATTTATTCATTTATATTATTTTAGTATTTAATTTTTTTATTAGATCTTTATCATTATTCCCAATAATTGGGTTCTTTTTTACTTCATTTAGTTTTGGGCTTTGCTGTAGCTCGTTTGTGCTCATGGCTCCTTTTACAGGCTGGACTTTATAAGGGGCATAAAGCCTCCAGAGAATGGAAAGAAAAGACATGTGAAATACTTTGGCCACTAGGAAATTTGTAATCTGTAAGGAGAAACAAGCCTGGGCTGGGGATATAGCTAAGTTGGTAGAGTGCTTGCCTTGCATGCACAAGGCCTTGGGTTCAATCCCCAGCAACACACACACACACACACACACACACACACACACACAATATTACCCATTTAGTGAAGAAGCACTGTGTAAAGTCTGGTAAGATGAAGGAAGAATGAGAGTGTGTGCCATGGAGCTGAATGTGTCTGAGTACACGAAATGTAGAGTTCAGGGGAATCGAGGTGAAAGGCATGTTCAGGAGAGGCTTCCCTGTCAATCCTGAGGTCAGGCTGTTGACCCTACAGTGACACACTCAGATCACATTCTTAATAGCATCCCAGAAACCCTCCATGTATCTTTGCAAAGAACATCCATACCATGATATTGTCAATCATTTCTAAGTGACAGGTGAGAAGAAAAGTTAGCCATTGATGTCTGGCGAGGTACAAGTTCTGTGTCATTGTTTGAAGGAACAGTACTGTAGCTTAGGGGGTTTGCTGTCAGAGGTAACATTTTCCCTTCCAGGAAAATCAAGAAATCCTTTTGGGTATTTTTGCTTTGGCTATTTCGGATGCTGGGTCCCCTGGCCCACATTTTTCTACATAGAGAACGAGGCCTGGATCGGCAGGAGGTTTTGTTGGGGACACACTAGAAGCAGTGTAGCACGTTAACAGGAAACTTAGCTTTCAGTCCTGCTGTTGCTTCTAATCAGCCCTACAACTTAGGACAAGTTCTGAACCTATTTCAGAGTTGTGTGGATATAAATGCATTGACCCGTTTCTAGTTTCTGTAAATGCAATGCTTTAAATCTGCCCTACATGTGTGTGCTGGACAGCTCAGTAACATCCCCGAGTCACCCCGTGTTGGCCTCCTGCCTTTCGCATCCCTTCTCTGCTCCTTTAGGACGAGTTCTACCCCCAGGACATGCTTTCCAAAAACAAACCAACCAATCCAGAGTGCACACACCCAGTCTTCTCCTTTATCAGACTCTCATACTCTGCCCCATGACACCTGCCCTAATGACCCCAGGGTCAGTTTCCACACAACTGGGTACATCCCTTAGGCCCCAAAGCCTGGTGAAATTGTTTGAATCAAGCCAATCCTAAGCCTACTTATCCTGCCTCACCGTTTCCTTTCCATGGAATCCACAGTAAAGGCTCTTACCTATAGCTCCCCTGTTCCTTTGCTTCATGGCTGACCCTAATGCTGCCTTGTGTGGTCTCCTGTTCTTGGAAACTGTGAGTAACAAACTATCTTTCAGTGACAGTCATCTTCTGATCTCACTATACCTCAATGTTCCTATTAATACACTGTATTTTAAAACAATAAGAATCTGACTCCATTCTAAGTCCTCTTAACTATAGTGAGGGCTCAGAAGTATGAAAACTAGCAACTGTGGAGGTTGCAAGCCCTCGTAGCTTTGCTCTGAACACTTGTCTCCTTCTTCTTGCTTTCTGAGGACCAGCTTCCTCTGCTGTCTTGGGTGTGATTCGTCATAACTGTCCTCAGGTGGTTCCTTGGATGACTTGTTAAGATTCCAGCATCCAGGAGGCATCACAATGCCAGATCTTAAATTATACTACAGAGCTATAGTAACATAAAAACAGCATGGTATTGGCACAAAAATGTAGACCAATGGAACAGAATAGAAGACACAGAGACAAGCCCACATAAATACAGTTATCTCATATTAGACAAAGCCTCCAAATTAACATACTTGGAGAAAAGATAGACTCTTCAACAAATGGTGCTGGCAAAACTGGAAATCCATATGTAGCAAAATGAAATTAAACCCCTATCTCTCGCCCTGCACAAAATTCAACTCAAAGTGGATCAAGGACCTAGGAATTAGACCAGAGTCCCTGAGCCTTTTTCTTCTTTTTTCAAGAAGAAAAAGTAGGCTCAAATCTCCATCACGTCAGTTTAGCAACCAACTTCCTCAATAAGACTCCTAAAGTACAAGAAGTCAAATCAAGAATCAATAACTGAGGATGGTATCAAACTAAAATGCTTCTTCACAGCAAAGGAAATAACCAAGAACCTGAAGAGATAACCTGCAGAATGGGAGAAAATCTTTACCATCTGCACCTCAGAAAAAGCATTAATCTTCAAGATATACGAAGAACTCAAAAAACTTAACACCAACACCCCAAATAACCCAATCAATAAATTGGCAAAGGAATTGAACAAGCACGTCCCAGAAGAAGAAATACAAATGGTCAAAAAATATATGAAGAAGTGTTCAACATCTCTAGCAATTAGAGAAATGAAAACTAAAACTACACTGAGATTTCATCTCCAGTCAGAATGGCAATTATTAAGAATATGAGTAACAATAAATATGAGGATGTGGGGAAAAGAGTACACTCATACATTGCTAGTGGGACTGAAAATTGGTGAAACCACTCTGGAAAGCAGTATGGAGATTCCTTAGAAAACTTGTAATGAAACCACCATTTGACCCAGTTATCCCACTTCTCAGTAGATACCCAAAGGACTTAAAATTACCATAGTACTGTGACCTAGCCACCTCAATGTTTATAGCAACTCAATTCACAATAACAAAGCTGTGGAACCAACCCAGGTGTCCTTCAACAGATGACTGGATAAAGAAAATGTGGTATAAATACACAATGGAATATTACTCAGCCATAAAGAAAAATGAATTATGGCGTTTGCTGGTAAATGGATGGAACTGGAGAATATCATGCTAAGTGAAATAAGCCAGTCTCAAAAAACCAAAGGTTTAATGTTCCCTCTGATATGTGGATGCTAACTCATAACAAGTGGGGGGTGGCGAGGGGAGCAATAGAGGTTCATTGATTAGACAAAGGGGAATGAAGGGAAAGGAGGTGGAATGAGAATAGGAAAGACAGTAGAATGAATTGGACATAACTTTCCTATCCTTATATATGAATACACAACCAGTGTAACTTCTCATCATGTACAACCACAAGAATGGGATCCTAACAGGAATAAGTTATACTATATATATAATGTCAAAATTCATTCTACTGGGGCTGGGGATATGGCTTAGCAGTAGAATGCTCGCCTAACATTGTGGGGCACTAGGTTTGATCCTCAGCACCACATAAAAATAAAATAAAGGTATTGTGTCCAACTACAACTAAAACAAAATATTAAATAAGTACATTCTACTGTCATGTATATCTAAAAGAACAAATTTAAAACTTCCAGCATCCATATCTTCTTTTTTAATTAATTAATTAATTTTAATTAGGTATGACAGCGGAATTCATTTTGATTCATTGTACACAATTGCAGCACAACTTTTCATTTTTCTGGTTGTACGTGATGTAGTGTTGCACCATATGTGCAGTCATACATGTACCTAGGGTGATGATGTCCATCTCATTCCACCATCTTTCCTGGTCCCCATACCCCATCCCTCCCTCCCCTTTGCCCAATCAAAGTTCCTCCATTTTTCCCATGCCCCCACCACCATCCATTATGGATCAGAATAAACTTATCAGAACATTTGGCCTTTGGTTTTGGGGATTGGCTTACTTTGTTTAGCATGATATTCTCCATATCTTCTTTCCTTAGGTTTTCTCTTTCCTTATTCCAGATTCCTGTGAGGAAAGAAAGTGATCAGCACAGTCCAGCCTTGAGTTGGTTCCCTTGGGTCAGCTTTCCACTAATGAGCTCAGCCAGAGGGCAGAACAAACAGGGCTGCAGGGCTTAAAGTAGGGGAAATGGGAGGAACAGGACCCGTGGCTGATGTCCACTGCCTGAGGCAGTTCTCAGTATCCTTTCAAGATGTTAAAAGGATTCTGCTTTTTAAAAAAAAAATCATAAATAGCTGAAAATATTACAAGCCATTTGTTCTCAAAACCATATGTGGTCAGGTAGCTCATTTCCCAAGGAGTGAAGATAAAGAACTCCAAGAGATCTAAATGTTTTTAAGCCAGATATCCTAGTAGGAGTTATGAA